ATAAAATAAATTGATCTCATTAATTTTTTTGAAACACCTCTTAAGAAAATCTAAAAAATATGAATGGAATGATAAATCACAAGTACAAACTCATCATATTTTTTGCATTTTAGATAGGATTTATTCAGCAAAATTTAAGGGTGACGTCATCAATTTTTTTAGGAGGGATGAACAAATACATTTTGAACAAAAGTTTACCATGCTTATAATAACTTTAAAATATTCCCAAGATTTCAAAGCATTCGGTTTTGTAATTCCTGATTAAATCGATAAAATAAATTCACGCCTTCATTAATTTTTTTGAGTCACCCTGCATATGCAAATCCAAAAATATGAATGGAATGATAAATCACAAGTACAGACTCATCATATTTTGTACATTTTAGATACGATTTATTCGGCAAACTTTTGAGCTGACGTCATCAGTTTTTTGTAGAAGATAACCAAATATATTTTGACTAAAAATTTATTATGCTCTTTATAACCTTAAAACATCTGCAAGATTTCAAAGCATTCGGTTTTGTAGTTCCTGATTAAATCAATAAAATAAATTTACGCATTCATTAATTTTTTTGAATCACCCTGTATATGCAAATCGAAAAAATTTGAATGGAATGATAAATCATAAGAAGAGACTCACCATATTTTGTACATTTTAGATAGGATTTTTTCAGCAAAATTTTGTGGTGACATCATAAATTTTTTAGGGGCACGACCAAATACGTTTTGATCAAAAATTTACCATGCTTATGATAATTTTAAAATATCTTCAAGATTTCGAAGCATTCGGTTTTGTAGTTCCTGAGTAAATCAGTAAAATAAATTTACGCTTTCATTTATTTTCTTGAATCACCCTGTATATGCAAATCCAAAAAATATGAATGGAGTGATAGATCACGAGTACAGACTGATCATATTTTGTACATTTTAGAAATGATTTATTCGGCAAATTTTCGAGCTGACGTCATCAAGTTTTTGGAGGGGATAAGCAAATATATTTTGACTAAACATTTATTATGCTCTTTATGACCTTAAAACATCTGCAAGATTTCAGAGCATTCCGTTTTGTAGTTCCTGATTAAATCAATAAAATATATTTACGCATTCATTAATTTTTTTGAGTCACCCTGTATATGCAAATCCAAAAAATATGAATGGAGTGATAGATCACAAGTACAGGCTCATCATATTTTGTACATTTTAGATATGATTTATTCGGCAAACTTTCGAGCTGACGTCATCAAGTTTTTGGAGGGGATAAGCAAATATATTTTCACTAAACATTTATTATGCTCTTTATGACCTTAAAACATCTGCAAGATTTCAGAGCATTTGGTTTTGTAGTTCCTGATTAAATCAATAAAATATATTTACGCATTCATTAATTTTTTTGAGTCACCCTGTATATGCAAATCCAAAAAATATGAATGGAGTGATAGATCACAAGTACAGGCTCATCATATTTTGTACATTTTAGATATGATTTATTCCACAAACTTTTGAGCTGACGTCATCAAGTTTTTGGAGGGGATAAGCAAATATTTTTTGACTAAAGATTTATGATGCTCTTTATAGCCTTAAAACATCTGCAACATTTCAAAGCATTCTGGTTAGCAGATTAAAAATTAAATTTCAAAATGTTGTTTTATAATTTTGATTTTTTTTCCAAAAATCTGGACGTTTCGGGTGAAAAGTCGATTCAGAGTTGTAAACTACATGTGTAGGACTATGTTATTTTATACAATTGAAAACCCATTTACTATGTACAATTTTGAAGTGACGTCATCGCATTAGTGGTGGGGATGATTAGACAAATTTTGGTTAGCGTTTTACCATCTACATGATATTCTTAATATAAGTACAAAATTTCACAACAATCGGTCGAGTACTTTCGGAGATTATCTGTCTAATAAAAATCCGGGACAACAGACGGACAGACGGACAGACGGACGGACAGACGGACAGACGGACGGACAGACGGACAGACGGACAGACGGACGGACAGACGGACAGACGGACAGACAGACGGAAATGGGAGACCTATTTCTTCGTCTTCTAGGGGTCATGAAAGATCGAGAAAACGTAAAAGTAGAGAGTCGGCCGACGGACTCGATTACAATACTTCCTTTGCTTACGCTCGGGAAGTAAAAAGACAAAATGTAAGCCCGCCCACCCGCCCTACCTCAATTGTGATGATTTTTTTTATTCCCCGTGAACCAAGGGGGCGTAGATTAACTGCAAAATACGTATTTCTTTACAAGAAGTTAAAAACATATTTTTGAGTATCGTATTGTTCAAAAAATGTTATGTATATTAAGAAAAAAGGCAAAATATTGATAACATATAAACGGGTTCCTAAAATTAACTCAAAAACAGCTCAAGTCAGAATTTTGTAAAAATAGACCACCAAAATTTTCTAAAATTTTTTTTTCAGTTTTTCAATTTTTCTTGATATTTTGATTTTTATATTTTTCTATTTTTCAAATTTTCTTCGATTTTTACTTCCCGAGCGTAAGCAAAGGAAGTATTGTAATCGAGTCCGTCGGCCGACTCTCTACTTTTACGTTTTCTCGATCTTTCATGACCCCTAGAAGACGAAGAAATAGGTCTCCCATTTCCGTCTGTCTGTCCGTCTGTCCGTCCGTCTGTCCGTCCGTCTGTCCGTCCGTCTGTCCGTCTGTCCGTCTGTTGTCCCGGATTTTTATTAGACAGATAATCTCCGAAAGTACTCGACCGATTGTTGTGAAATTTTGTACTTATATTAAGAATATCATGTAGATGGTAAAACGCTAACCAAAATTTGTCTAATCATCCCCACCACTAATGCGATGACGTCACTTCAAAATTGTACATAGTAAATGGGTTTTCAATTGTATAAAATAACATAGTCCTACACATGTAGTTTACAACTCTGAATCGACTTTTCACCCGAAACGTCCAGATTTTTGGAAAAAAAATCAAAATTAAAAAACAACATTTTGAAATTTAATTTTTAATCTGCTAACCAGAATGCTTTGAAATGTTGCAGATGTTTTAAGGCTATAAAGATCATCATAAATCTTAAGTCAAAAAATATTTGCTTATCCCCTCCAAAAACTTGATGACGTCAGCTCAAAAGTTTGTGGAATAAATCATATCTAAAATGTACAAAATATGATGAGTCTGTACTTGTGATCTATCACTCCATTCATATTTTTTGGATTTGCATATACAGGGTGACTCAAAAAAATTAATGAATGCGTAAATATATTTTATTGATTTAATCAGGAACTACAAAACCGAATGCTCTGAAATCTTGCAGATGTTTTAAGGTCATAAAGAGCATAATAAATGTTTAGTCAAAATATATTTGCTTATCCCCTCCAAAAACTTGATGACGTCAGCTCGAAAGTTTGCCGAATAAATCATATCTAAAATGTACAAAATATGATGAGCCTGTACTTGTCATTTATCACTCCATTCATATTTTTTGGATTTGCATATACAGAGTGACTCAAAAAAATTAATGAATGCGTAAATATATTTTATTGATTTAATCAGGAACTACAAAACGGAATGCTCTGACATCTTGCACATGTTTTAAGGTTATAGAGAGCATAATAAATGTTTAGTCAAAATATATTTACTTATCCCCTCCAAAAACTTGATGACGTCCGCTCGAAAATTTGCCGAATAAATCATATCTAAAATGTACAAAATATGATGAGTCTGTACTTGCGATTTATCATTCCATTCATATTTTTGGATTTGCATATGCAGGGTGACTCAAAAAAATTAATGAAGGCGTGAATTTATTTTATCGATTTAATCAGGAATTACAAAACCGAATGCTTTGAAATCTTGGGAATATTTTAAAGTTATTATAAGCATGGTAAACTTTTGTTCAAAATGTATTTGTTCATCCCTCCTAAAAAAATTGATGACGACACCCTTAAATTTTGCTGAATAAATCCTATCTAAAATGCAAAAAATATGATGAGTTTGTACTTGTGATTTATCATTCCATTCATATTTTTTAGATTTTCTTAAGAGGTGGTTCAAAAAAATTAATGAAGTCAATTTATTTTATTGATTAAATTAAAGGCAACACTTATTATTAGTATTACACCCCAACCAACCCAATTTGGTAGACACAAAATTTGTTAAAGGAAAAACTCGGTTGAAACATAAGGGTAGCACGCTTATTTACATCGACTTTAACATTACAGACCTGCATTTGTTTTATGCGTTCACTTGGTTCCGCGAATGTGAAATAGACATGTTTATAATCAACCAATTGTGAATTTCACCGTCAAGAATTAAAATAAAACCCAATGTTTTATATAATAAGCGGAAGTCGAAGCAATAAAACCGATGGTCGTTTTGTTTACAGTTTCTCTGTTTGACTCTCACGTATGCTGTTACGCCTGTCATCTTAAATTAAGAATGTTTATACATACACGATTTTCAGTTGCCTCTGATACGTATACGTGAGTAAATTGTTTCGTTATTTTATTGATTATTACAAATCAATATTCAAAACGACCCAATTCATTTTCCCGAAAATTTGAGAATATAATAATTTTATTCTTAGTATTACACTACATCTATCCCAACTGATATACGTGTCCTTGCAAAAATGTTGATGACGTCATCGCAATTTTTTTTTAAATTCCCACTACAAAAATGTAATGAGAAAAAGAACACAATAGGCATGCAGTCGTCAAGTTTCCGACAGCGAGGGAAGTACTGTCTAAACTCTTTAGACCAATTTTTTTTAATTTAGTCGAACTGTTGAGGTACGAAGTCGGTGGAAAAACCATTACGAACTTCTTAGTAATATAATAACATTTTTGGATGATAATAAAAAGTAGACTATTACAATTGTTGCATTTTATTACCGTCAAGGTTTCTTTTCTTGCAAAGAAATAATTCCATGAATAATAATTAATGCAGTTTTTGTTAACTCCGAACCTTGAACCTGTCCGCACTTTAACTACGATTTGCAAAAAACCGGTACTCATATGTACTACTGACCTGTTTTTCACTGACTGGTTCCCAATAAACGTCATCTGTGTTGCAATGAGTGTTGTAGTAGAATTTTTGCGCAGCTCCTCCGATTTTCTGTTCTCTCCAGGGTGGTTCCTGTGTGTACTTACCGGACTTCTGGCGCTTTATCACTACGGGTTTCAATGTACGCGTTACGCGAAACTGGGGAACAAGCTTCCAGGACTTCCCTTTACTCTTCCAATTCTAGGAAATGCACTGATGGTGCTGAATAAAACCCCAACAGGTAACACTTTTCTCTAGAGAAATTAGAAATGAAAAAGTACTTTCAGAAATTTTCGAGTACGCGTTAAAAGTATACAACGAGCAAGGGAACATCACCAGACTATGGTTAATGAATAAATTGGTCGTGGTTTTGGTCGACCCACGAGACGTAGAAGTACCCAATCACTTTTTTTTTTAATTTTGATTAATTTTATTCGAATTAGGTAATCTTGGGGAGCAACTCCCACTTGGAAAAGAGTTCCGAATACCATCTTTTCGAGCCTTGGTTGGGCGACGGAATTCTAATCAATAAAGGCGAGAAATGGAGGACCCACCGAAAAATGATAGTCCCTACTTTCCATCAATCCATCCTGAAGACTTTCGTGCCTGTTTTTAGCAAAAACGCCAACGACTTAGTCGAATTGTTGAGGAACGAAGTGGTTGGGAAAGTTTGTGATGTCCATGACTACACGAGTGAGGCCACCGTGGACGTCCTCTTAGGTATTCCAACCATGTAGCTCTTCTATCTTTAAAGATAATGACTTTCCAGAAACCGTAATGGGTATCAAGAAAACTAAAGAATCAAAATCGAGCTTCGACTACGCCAAAGCCGTAACGGAGTAAGTACAATAGCGACATTTATCTCCAGTTAATGGTTCCATTGGTAGCATGTGTGGTATTCTTCACCTCCGACACGTGCGTCTGTGGATGCGCCCGGACTTCCTCTTCCGGTTTACCAAACAATTCAAAGAACAAATTTCGCACTTGAATATCATCCACACTTTAACTGACTCGATTATCAAAAAAAAGAAGTTAGAGTTCGTCGAGCGGAAGAAGAAAGGCGACGTAAGTTTGTATGAAGCCGCTGTTAAAGAAACCGACTTGGAAGAACAAGGGTTGAGTTCTCCTCGAGACGACCAATGCGATGACAACGTCGGCGAGAAAAAGCGCTTAGCGTTTTTAGATTTTATGATAGAAGCGAGTCAGATTTTGGGCAACAAGTTGAGCGACGAAGAAATCCGGGAGGAAGTTAACACGATTTTGTTTGAAGGTCATGAGACGATGGCGGTGACTTCCAGCTTCTTTCTTTGCATTCTAGGGGTGTATCCGGACGTTCAAGAGAACGTCTATCAGGAAATGAGGGATATTTTTCAAGGTAGTGATCGTACTGTTACTTTCAACGACACTTTGGAGATGAAATACCTGGAAAGGGTGCTCCTGGAGGGTCTAAGAATGTTTTCGCCGGTTCCCGTTATCACTAGAATAATCCGAGAGGAAGTTAAATTAGGTGAGAGAAGGAGAGTCATTCGGGTATCGAGTCTAACGCTTGGTTTTAGCTTCTGGAGATTATATTTTGCCGAAGGGCACCACTGTGGCGATTCCGCCTTTTCTGATTCATCGCAACACTAAACACTATCCGAATCCTGAAAAGTTCGACCCTGATAATTTCCTACCCGAAAGGTGTCAACAGAGGCACTATTACAGTTTTATTCCTTTCAGTGCCGGCCCCAGGAATTGCGTTGGTGAGTTTCGATGATTTGTAATGGTATGTGGTGACGATTTTGTCGCAGGGAGAAAATACGCAATGTTGAGACTCAAAGTCCTGCTGTCTACTCTCGTTCGCAATTTTAAAGTTACCTCAGTAGTGGACGTAAAAGACTTCAAGTTGCAAGGAGACATCATTTTGAAGAGGTCAGACGGCTTTCGGGTTATTTTACAGAACAGAAATTAATATAAGTATAATAAAAGTTTGATAAAAAATCGATACCAACTGTGCTACCTACTAATATTACATCCTTTCGGCTTTTTAGCTTTACGTCCGTCCGGAAAGGGTTTTCCTTTCCGGAGCGATTTATCCATTCGGGCGGAATTGGAGCCCTTTATACGAGATAATCTACATCGTGAGATGAATGACCAATATTACTATCACTATTGGGGATTTGTGGCCACGATTACACGATACATTGGGGAAATTTATAGCAATATCGTGAGTCAGTACACCCAAATAGGCGCAGTTGTCAGCAATTTGGTTATAAATCAATCCCGGAGAAATAAAACACTTAAAAAAAAGATTTATTAAGCACTTCGACACACTAATAAAAATATTTTCGCAAAAGTGCGGCTTCTTCACTCATCTCTGCGTTGCTCCGCAGCGGCATGCCACTATCTTGTCGATCGTGCTGCGCCAATCGATCGTAAATCTCGTCGTTGCGCTCAAAATCGTTGGCTTTCCTCGGCAAAATGTGAATGTGGACGTGCTAAAACACAAAACATTCGAAAGGGGGATAATAAAGTGGGATTTATAAACTTGCTGTAGACGTTGCAGTTGCTGTTTGAGCTGACGTTGTTTTTACCATTTTAAACATAGCAAAGCAAAATGTAGCCCCGCCCACCCGCACTAGCTCAATTGCGATGATTTTTTTTATTCGTCGTGAGCCAAGGGGGTGGAGCTTAACTGCAAAATTTATCTCTACGAGAAATTAAAAACATGTTTTGGAGTATCGTGTTGTTCAAAAAATATCATGTATGTTAAGAAAAAAATAAAGCCAAAAATTAGGCCCCACCCATACCCGCCCCGATCTCAATTCTCAGTTTAATTGCAAGATTCATATTTGTCTACAAGAATTTACCATTTTAAACATATTTTCTTGTTCTGAAAAGACGACTACGTATATTAAGAAAACAGGCAAAATATAAGCCCTATCTCAATTGTGATGATTTTTTTTTAAACGTCGAAAGCCAAAGGAGCAGAATTTAATTCCAAAATCGTTATTATTTCACTACAAAAAATTACTACGTAAGACATGTTTTGAGTATCATGTTATTCAAAAAATACTACGTATATTAATAAGAAATTAAAGCCAAAGATTAATGAAATTTTTATTCGTTGACAAACCGAGGGTTGGAGCGTAGTTGCATAATCCATATTTCCTTACAAAAATTTACCATTTTAAACGTATTTTAAGATTCTAAGAATAAAATAAAACATCACAATTGAGATGGGGTGGGTGGGTGGGCTTTATCTTTTGCCATTTTTTCTTAATATACATAGTATTCTTTGAACACGATACTCAAAAACATGTTTTTAATTACTTGTAAAGAAATAAGTATTTTGCAGTTAAGCTTCGCCCCCTTGGTTCAGGCCGGATAAAAAAAAATCATCACAATTGAGATAGGGTGGGTGGGCGGGCGGGCTTATATTTCGCTTTTTTGTTTTAATATTTGTAGACTTCTATTCACAGTATGAAACTTGTTTAAAATGGAAAATTTGTATAGGGAAATATCGATTTTTCAATTAGGCTCCGCCCCATAATTGCGATATCCATATTTTCTTGCCAAAATGTACCATTTTACCCATATTTTGAGTTTCTTGTTGTGTAAAGATGAAAAAAGGCAAAATATAAGCCCCGCCCACCCACTCTATCTCAATTCTGATTTTTTATTCGTCGTAAGCCGAGGGGCGGAGCTTAATTGTAAACTCCTTATTTTCCTACAAGAAATTACCATGTGCAAAATGTATTATTTGAACACGATACGCAAAAACATGTTTTTAATTTCTTGTAAAGAAATAAGTATGTTGCAGTTACGGTTCGCCCCCTTGATTCACAGCGAATTAAAAAAAATTATCACAATTGAGATAGGGCGGGTGGGCGGTCTTACATTTTGCCTTTTTGTTTTAATATGTGTAGACTTCTTTTCACAACATGAAATTTAAAACATGTTTAAAATGGAAATTTTCTATAAGGAAGTATCAATTTTGCAATTAGGCTCCGCCCCATAATTGCAATATCCATATTTGCTTGCAAAAATGTAACATTCTAACCATGTTTTAAGTTTCTTGTTCTAAAAAGACGACTACGTATATTAAGAAAAAAGGCAAAATATAAGGCCCGCCCGCCCACCCACCCTATTTCGATTGTTATGATTTTTTTTAGTCGTTGAGATCCAAAGGAAAAGAATTTAATTGCAAAACCATTATTTTTTTCTCTACAAGAAATTACCATGTACAGTTTCGGCCAGAAAATCTTAAGCAGTATTTGAGTGGTAGTGGAAACTAATATAATCTGAGAAATAAAAAAATATTTTAGTATATGGTCCTTAATAAATTCTTTTTTTTTCTTTCTGATAATTACTGAAACACCTCTTGCCAAAATATAATACAAATTTTCAGTTTACAGCGGATAAAATAAGTCAGTGAAATGGAGAAAGGAAGTGGGCGGAGTTGACTTTATCTTTTTTCTACAGAGCCTTACAAGGAAGCATTAGCCCCCCCCCCACCCGACCTTTATTTTCTTAGAAGCTACATGATTTGCCAAAATCAGTTTTATCATAGCAAGTGCTAGCCCCGCCCATCCACCCTCTATTTTTTCAGACGCTATGTCATTTGCCAACATAAGTCTTATCTTAGCAGGTGCTAGCCCCGCCCACCCGTGATATTCTTATTCAAACGACTAACTTTATTTCTGTTCAGTATAAGATAAATCTTTCATTTAGATTACATAAAACCAATCTCTGAAATGAAGGTGGGTGGGTGGGCGGGGCAAATTCTATTCTGAGTGGTAGTGGAAACTAATAGAATCTGAGATCCGAAAAAACTAAGTTGTATGGTTCGCCTTGAAAACAGAACACTCTGTATAATTGAAAATAATTTTAGTATATGGTCCTTAAAAAATTCTTTTTTTTTTCTTTCTGATAATTACTGAGACACCTCTTGCCAAAATATAATTCAATTTTCATTTTACAGCAGATAAAATAAGTCAGTGAAATGGAGAAAGGAAGTAGGCGGAGTTGACTTTATCTTTTTTCTACAGAGTCTTATAAGAAAACAGTAGCCCCGCCCACCCACGTCTTCTTCATTTCAGTGACTATTCTTTCAGTATTGTTTCGTCTTATCTAGTTAAGTACTAGCCCCACCCACCCGCCCTTTATTTTCTTGGAAGCTATATGATTTGCCAAAATCCGTTTTATCATAGCAAGTGCTAACCCCGCCCACCCGCCCTCTATTTTTTTAGAAGATATGTCATTTGCCAACATCAGTCTTATCTTAGTAAGTGTTAGCCCCGCCTATTCGCGCTCTTCTCACTCTAATGACTAATTTTATTTCTGTTTTTTATAAGATAGATCTTTCATTTAGATTACGTAAAACCAATCTCTGAAATGGAGGTGGGTGGGTGGGCGGGGCAAACTATATTTTGAGTAATAGTGGAAACTAATAGAATATGAAATCCGAAAAAAACTATGTTGTATGATTCGCCTTGAAAACAGAACACTATGTATAGTTGAAAATAATTTTAGTATATGGTCCTGAAAAAATTCTTATTTCGCTTTCTAACAATTACTGAAATACCTCTCATCAAAATATAATCGAATTCTCATTTTACAGCTGATAAAATGAATCAGTGAAATGGAAAAGGAAATGGGCGGAGCTCACTATCTTTTTTCTACAGCAAGCAGTAGCCCGCCCACCCACCCCCTCTTCATTCTAGTAACTACTCTTAATATTGTTCCGCCTTATCTTAGCAAGCACTAGCCCCGCCCACCCACCCTCTATTTTTTCAGACGATATGTCATTTGCCAACATCAGTCTTATCTTAGCAAGTTCTAGCCCCGCCTACTTGCGCTCTTCTCACTCTAACGACTAACTTTATTTCTGTTCAGTATAAGATAGATCTTTCATTTAGATTACATAAAACCAATCACTGAAATGGAGGTGGGTGGGTGGGTGGGGCAAATAAGTCAGTGAAATGAAGGAAGGAAGTGGGCGGAGTTGACTTTATCTTTTTTCTACAGTCTTATAAGGAAACAGTAGTCCCGCCAACCCGCCCCCTCTTCATTTTAGTGATTACTCTTAATATTGTTCCGTCTTATCTAGGTAAGTACTAGCCCCACCCACCCACCCTTTTTTGCTTAGAAGCTATATGATTTGCCGAAATCACTTTTATCATAGCAAGTGCTAGCCCCGCCCACCCGCCCTCTTTTTTTAGAAGATATGTGATTTGCCAACATCAGTCTTACCTTAACAAGCGCTAACCCCGCCTACTTGCGTTCTTCTTACTCTAACGACTAACTTTATTTCTGTTCAGTATTAGATAGATCTTTCATTTAGATTACATAAAACCAATCACTGAAATGGAGGTTCGGGGCAAATTATATTCTGAGTGGTAGCGGAAACTAATAGAATATGAGATCCAAAGAAAACTAAGTTGTATGATTCGCCTTGAAAACAGAACACTCTGTATAATTGAAAATAATTTTAGTATATGGTCCTAAAAAAATTCTTTTTTTTCTTTCTGATAATTACTGAAACACATCTTCCCAAAATATAATTCAATTTTCATTTTACAGTAGATAAAATAAGTCAGTGAAATAGAGAAAGGAAATGGGCGGAGTTGACTTTATCTTTTTAGTCTTATAAAGAAACAGTAGCCCCGCCCACCCGCCTCCTCTTCATTTTAGTGACTACTCTTTTAATACTGTTCCGTCTTATCTAGGTAAGTACTAGCCCCACCCACCCGCCCTTTATTTTCTTGGAAGCTATATGATTTGCCAAAATCAGTTTTATCATAGCAAGTGCTAGCCCCGCCCACCCGCCCTCTATTTTTTTAGAGGATATGTCATTTGCCAACATCAGTCTTATCTTAGCAAGTTCTAGCCCCGCCTATTCGCGCTCTTCTCACTCTAACGACTAATTTTATTTCTGTTCAGTATAAGATAGATCTTTGATTTAGATTACATAAAACCAATCTCTGATATGGAGGCGGGGTGGTGGGCGGGGCTAATTATATTTTGAGTGGTAGCGGGAAACTAATAGAATCTGAGATACGAAAAAAACTAAGTTGTGTGGTTCGCCTTGAAAATAGAACACTCTGTATAGTTGAAAATAATTTTAGTATATGGTACTGAGACACCTCTTGCCAAAATATAATTCAATTTTCATTTTAGAGCAGATAAAATAAAGTCAGTGAAATGGAGAAAGGAAGTGGGCGGAGTTCATCTTTTTTCTACAGAATCTTACAAGGAAACAGTAGCCCCGCCCACCTGCCTCCTCTTCATTTTAGTGACTACTCTTTTAATATTGTTTCGTCTTATCTAGGTAAGTACTAGCCCCACCCACCCGCCCTTTATTTTCTTGGAAGCTATGCGATTTGCCAAAATCAGTTTTATCATAGCAAGTGCTAGCCCCGCCCACCCGCCTTCTATTTTTTTAGAGGATATGTCATTTGCCCACAGGATGTAGTCTATGCTTTATTGTCATAATGACTGACACTTTAAAAAAATAAATTTTGACATACGTCATCATCCATATTCCAGTCTACGTCAAAATGACAAACATGGCAAATTTGAGGTTATACGTATATCACTTTAAAAGCATACAGATAATATTCTACAACTTTAATCAAAGAAAACCATAAATTATGCAGGTACGACCACCAACGACCATCTGCTTGGGGTAGAACAGGAAATTCTGTAGGCACGCGATGGGGTTTAAAAGTTTACTGCGAAAAGCCGCCTCGGAATTGTCAACCAAATAATCCTAATTATGCCATAAAATTTTATTAGTATTATTTCGAAGTGATCTTAGTATACGTAAAGCCTGTTTTGGAGCTTATGTCACTAGAATGATAGAACTTCCCATGATTCTATGGGCGAAACTGAAAGACATGTTTTTGACTATCGTGTTAGTCAAAAAATAATATGTATATTAAGAAAAAATTAGAGACAAAGGTTTAGCCCCACCCATACCTGTCCTGATCCATATATAATATATATAACAATGAACTTAACAGACCGAGGGGCGGCGCCTAAATTGCAAAATCCATATTTCCTTACAAAAATTTACCATTTTAAACCTGCTTCAAGTTTCTTAAAATGAAAAAAATTATTACAATTGAGATGGGGTGGGTGGGCGGGGTTAATATTTTGGTCCTTCCTCTTAATATACATAATATTCTTTGAACAACACGATAGTCAAAAACATGTTTTAATTTCTTGGAAAGAAAGAAATATTTTGCAGTTATGCTCCGCCCCCTTGATTCACGGCTACATTTTGCCTTTTTGTTTTAATATTTGTAGACTTCTTTTCACAACATGAAACTTAAAACATGTTTAAAATGGGAAATTTGTGTAACGAAATATCGATTTTCCAATTAAACTCAGCGAAATAACTGCAAAATCCATATTTCCATTTTAACTACGTTTTAAGTATCTTATTGTGAAAAGATGACTATGTATATAAAGAAAAAAAGGGCAAAATATAAGCCCCGCCCACCCACCCTATCTCAATTCTGATGATTTTTCTTGTTCGTCGTAAGCTTAATTGTAAAATCCTTATTTTTCTGCGAGAAATGACCATGTGAAATATGTTCATAAGTAATGATGTTATACAAAGAAAACTAACTGTATTAACTGGAAAAGAAAACCAAAAGAGAAGTCCCACCCATCCGTCTCGATCTGAATCGTGATGAATTTTTCATTCGTTGTCAGACCGAGGGGTGGAGCGTAATTGCAAAATCGATATTTCCATTTACCATTTTAAACGTGTTTTAAGTTTTTTAAAATAAAAAAATCATCACAATGGAGATGGGGTGGGTGGGTGGGGTTTATATTCTGGGTTTTCTTCTTAAAATATTTAGTATCCTTTGAACAATACGATACACAAACACATGTTCTTAATTTCTTGTAAAGAAATAAGTATTTTGCAGTTAAGCTCCGCCCCCTTGATTCACGGCGAATAAAAAAAATCATCACAATTGAGAAAGGGCGGGTGGGCGGGCTTACGTTTTGCTTTTTTGTTTTAATATGTGTAGACTTCTTTTCACAACATGAAACTTAAACATGTTGTGTACTGACAGAAAATGATGGCAACTATTTAAAATATGAGCAGGTTGGTAGCACTGCACACTACCGCAATGTGATTGGTTGAAAACCCAACGTCAACGGAAACGTCAACAAGTTTATAAATCGACCTTAATGCCACTCACTGGAACGGTTTGACCAGCGTACTGCCCGTCCTGGACGCACAACGTAGTGGACGTCGTCTTATGCACCTCCTCCATGACCTTTTGCACTTTGACCGCAGTCTTAAACAAGTCGCTCACTTCGGCTTCCGTTAAATCCTCGAGTTTGCGGCAGCAGCGCAAAGTCGAAATTAGCACATCTGTGATTGTTAATTAAATATAATAAAAAAACGACTGACTATGTAAAGGGCAAGGATACGTCCTGGTACCACACAGCGGATGTTTGTGAAAGCGTAACAGTACTGAGTCCTGTAAAAAACGGTACTTTCTGGAATGACTTTCTCGGAAAATTTGTATACTACGTTGTCAGTGATAGGAAGACTGGGATTCCCGACTGTTTCCAGCTGGTATATATCGTCCCGTCTGTGCTCAAACACCGGCATTTCCCGTCTGACTTTCCGGATTAACTCTGGATCAATTTCGGCGAGTGCGACGCTCTGGTTGGAGTAGTGCCCGTCGCGGAATTTCGGACATTCAGCGACGACTTTACCCTGCGGGTCTACAATCTAACGCAATATTTAGACACTCTAAGCAAAGTACTCACTAGGGCTTGCCCAAACGACGTTCGTTTTTCGTTATGTTTGCCATATTGAGCCGCCGCTACCACGTAACATTGCGTTTCTATAGCCCTAGCTCTGAGTAATACCTCCCAGTGGAGCAGACCCGTAGCGTGAGTAAAAGCACTGGGATAGGTCAAAATACTCGCCCCTTGTTTGCGCTGAAGAACACTCAGTTCAGGGAACCTCAGATCATAGCACTAACTCAAATTAAGGTGTTTTTTATTATATTTATAGACAAAGTACGACTTTTATAAGGATACTATCGCCAGGGAAAGGGGGCCCGCTGGCGTTATCGTCGGTGCCACAATCTCGTTCCCCGCCACGTTCGTCTCCGACTCCCTCAAGTGCACGTTCGCCTCAGGAATACTCACGTCAAACAAGTGCATTTTTTTGTAAATCGACTTGATCTCACCCGTGTCGTCGATCAAAACATGCGAATTAAAAATTTTCGTCTGGTATTAGTTAGTAATTAGTTTGAATCGTGTTTTTTGGGTTACCTCATTGTTGGTTTGCGTCAATTCGTGAAAACCCCCCACAGAAAGCCACACTTTTTGGTTTTTCGCTAGACTTTGGTACTCGTTCATGAGGGTCCCAGTGAGGGGCTCAGCTAACGCTTTGGCTTCTTCTTTGCTTGTGGCTATGTAGTCGCTGGCTTCGGGCAAGAACACCACCTAAAGATACTGTTGGTTTACGCGAAAATACGAAAGTTTGACGTACTTTGGCGCTTTTCTGGGCCGCTTCGGAGACGAGCTCTTTGACTATTTTGAGGTTAGTTTCTTTATTGTTGGTGGCAGTGAATTGGCAAACCGCGACTGTGCACTTTTGGGCGCTCATTTTGTAGGCTGTGAAAGACTTGACACGGAGCAAATTTGGTAAAAACACGGTGAAAGCGATTGACATTCCCGTGTTGACTTTGGACTTTGAGGTTATGTTAGGTGGTCACGAGACCGGTGATGCAGCCGTTTTTACACAAATGTATTGTGGGTGGCCTATACTCTAATGTTAATTTTTCAATTTTTAGTTTCCTTTTTTCGATTTTATTTCTATTCTATTGACCCTAACAGTTGGGCCCCCACTAATTTCGCCTCCCGGGCCCCAACTCATCCTCTTCCCCAATTTACCAATTCCCGCCATCAACCCACTTAGGATACGTCAATCAAACCCACCAGCCAATTTCCTCGTTTATTTAATACAAAATCCACTATGTACAGTATAAAAATCCTTAATGTAAGGCAAAGCCGTAAGACACTAACATTTGTACTCTCATATTTACATATTTCTCAACAATAAATAAAATACTGGTCAAACTTTAGGCGAATTGTTGACCCCCGTCTTGAGGTACCCCACCGACATGTGGGTGCGGCTATGGGGGCTCGGAGTATGCTGCGAGTCCCCACCAGTGCTCATCCTGCACCTCAACGTGTCCAAATAGGCCTGCCGATACTGTTTATTCATCGTAACGTACACCACCGGGTTCACACACGCCGAAATATAAATCAAAATGTACCCCAACACATGTAGCGGCGCGTTCTTCACCTCCTTGTCGAAGATCTTCACGATCGTGATCGGCAGATAGCACACCACGAAGCACACGAAAATCACCAGCACCATCTTCGTGATCTTCATCTCGCTGCGCTTGTAGTCGGCGCCGGAGTTGTGCTGCTTGAGGCGCTTGTGCGAGCGCCGCACCACCCAGAAGATGTTGGCGTAGCACACGACGATGACGACGCAGGGCAGCGCGAAGCCGATGACGAAGAGCGCGGTCTTGGAGGAGTGGCCGTTGCGGTCGGCGTTGATGGAGCAGGTGCCGAGTTTCTCGTCGAAGCCGTACTCGCCCCACTGGCCGAGCAACGTGGGGATCTGGAGGCCGTAGCTGAAGAGCCAGATGGCGGCGATGTAGATGGACACCTTGGTGCGGGTGTAGATCTGGCGAAAAGTCGGTTAGGTTTGAGGGAGAGGGTGAGGGGGTTGCTTACCGATGAGTAGACGTGGGGCCAGGCGATGAGGATGTAGCGGTTGATGGAGATCATGGCGATGCTGAGGAGCGAGACGCCGACGCAGCCGTAGCGCAAGACGGGGATGATTATGCAGAGCACGTCGCCGTGGATCCAGGTGCCGTGGAAGAACTGGCTGGCGGCGAAGGGGAGCACGATGAAGCAGAACATGAGGTCGGAGATGCACAGGCTGGAAGGAAAATGTCAAAAAAAATTACAACACACGCAAGAAAAGAGAACAAAGTCGAAATGTCAGGTGAATCATTATCAGTGAACTTCCTTTTGAAAGAGGAAGGAACTGACTCAAGAGGATGATTTCGAAATGTCTGTAACGTTATTCAGGTAAACAAAATCGGGGCTAGAGTGCAAACGCGGTGAGAAGAATGTGTCATTATTATCTGTCATCGGAAACTCCGTAGTTTTGTCCACTAGGTTTTTTGTACCAACATTTCTGAGATATTTCGAAAGTCATTGTCCAGCTCATGTCCACGTGACAACACTCTTTGGACTGATATCTAATGATTTTCAAGAAGGAAAGAAAATTCCAACTTTATCGTTAAGCAAACATTTGTTGCTTTAGTAAGACGCTTCCGAGAACTCCCGCTGTCAAAGTAGAAAACTTTGAAATAAATAGTTTCTCAGAAATTAAGGTCTAAACCGAATTTGACTGTTTACACTTCCAATTTTTATTACTTTTCGTTTTTGAGCTGTTGTCTTACTAATGGGTATTCAAAATAAAAAATGAAGGGAAAACAAAATAATTAACAAACAATAAAAATTTCCAAAAAATTTGTACAAAATGGTGTCAAAAAGCTAGAAAAAATTAAAAAATCGAAAATCCAACAAAAAAGGGGATACAAAAAAATGCTAGTAAAAAACAAAAAGTGGACGACAACGACCAAAAAACGACAAAAAAGGCAAATATTGCCAGAAAATTTTAAAATAAGCTGACAGACGAAAGGTAGGAAAGTATTACAAAAATTATACAAAATCATAACAATAAAATCTAAAATAAAACAAGCAATATCGAAAAAGATGACCAAAACTATCGACAAAAAACAAAAAGAAAAGCATGAAAAATACTAACAAAAGAAAGGAGAGATAAAAACATTACAAACAGGACAAAAGCAAGGTGTGGAAAAAACACTGAAAATTCAAGAAAAGTAGCCACAGAAAAAGGTTTAAAAAATGAGACAAAAAAACACGCCAAAAAAGAAACAAAAAAACAACAAAAGGGTAACAAAATGAGGGCAAAAAAAGGAAAACAAAAAACCACCAAAAAAGGCGAAAAATAAAGGGAATGGAAAAAATTTAAAAAGGAAGACGACAAAAGATGATACAAAATGGTGTCAAAAAAAGACTACAAAGAAAAAGACAAAAAAAGCGACAAAAAAAGGTGAGAAAAACAGCGACAAAAACGAGTCCCAATAGAAAAACACAACAAAAAGGGCACGAAAAACAAAAAAAAAACAACCAAAACCGTAAAAAATACAGACGAAAAAGGCAACAAAAGCGACAAAGAATGACGAAAAAGGATAGTAAGCGACAAACAAATCAATAAAAAAGTTACAAGGAAAGGCAGCAAAAAGTGGTGATAAAAAAACAAAAATGATGAGAAAAACAAAAAATGACAAATAAAAAGTGAAAAGAAAGGTGAAAAAAAGTATAAAAAATTCCATCAAAAATGAGAAAGATGCAGGTGAAGAAAGCGACAAAAAGACACAAAAATGAGACAACAAAAAATTGCAAAAAAGGAAAAAAGGGGTGACGAAAACGAGACAAAAATAGGCGACAACGAATAGTGAGGATAAAGTTAAAAAATGCGATAACAAAACGAGAGGTAAAAAAAAGGACAAAAAACGGAACCAAAGAATATGACAAAAAGGAGTGAGAATAAGCGTGATAAAAAGTCGACAAAAAAGCAACAAAAATTGCGACAGAAAAAAATGAAAAATAAAGGAGATGAAAAAATACAAAAAGGTAGTGAACAAAAAAGAGAAACTGCAAAAAAGACATTAAAAAATTACTCAAAATGACGTCAAAAAATAGGCTACAAAAAAAAACGATTAAAAAACGAGGCATAAAAAGTTTTTCAATTCTTTAATTTTTCGATTTTTCAAGTTTTTGATTTTTCAGTTTTTCGTTTTTTCAGTTTTGAGATTTTTCAGTTTTGAGATTTTTCAATTTTTCGATATTTCCTTTTTCAATTTTTGACGTTTCTAAATTTTCGATTTTTCAGGTTTTTGAATTTTCAATTATTTGATTTTTTTCAATTTTGGATTTTTCGACTTCGATTTTTTTGGTGTTCGATTTCTCGATTTTTTTATTTTTCGATTTTTCAATTTTCCAATTTTTAAAATTTTTGATTTTTCGATTTTTCAATGTTTCGGAATTTCGATGTTTCAATTTTTCGGTGTTTTAATTTTTCAGTTTTTAAAATTTAAAATTTTTCGATTTCTCGATTTTAGTTCTTCGATATTTCTATTTTTCAATTTTTCAGATTACTAAATTTTAGATTTTTCTGTGTTTTGATGTTTCGAATTCCCGATCTTTCGGTTTTTCGACTTCTCCCTTTTGGATGTTTCGGTTTTTCAAGTTTCCGATTTTTGAAGTCTTTGATTTTTCGATTTGTCAATTTTTCAGTTAAAATTCTCGATTTTTCAGTTTTCCGATTTTTCATTGTTTCGATTTCTCGATTGATCAATTTCTTGATTTTACAATTTTGCAATTATTTGATTTTTTCAATTTTCAATTTTTCTTGTGTTCGATTTCTCGATTTTTATATTCTTCCATGTTTTAGGTTTGAGATTTTTCAAGTTTTCGATTTTTCAATTTTTCTAATTTTTGATTTTTAGATTTTTCAATAGTTCGTGATCTCAATTTTTCTGTGTTTTAATTTTTTAGTTTTTAAAATATTAAATTTTTAGATTATTCAGTTCTTCGATATTTTTTTGATGTTTCGATTTCTCCATCTTCGATTTTTCGACTTCTCTGTTTTAGATTTTTGGGTGTTTAGCTTAAAATTCTAGATTTTTCAGTTTTCCGATTTTTCAATGTTTCGATTTCTCGATTTATGATTTCGAGGTTGTTCGATGATTTGAGTTTTCAATTTTCAATTTTTAAATTTTCAACTATTTTTGGGTTTTGGGCTATTTCAGTTTCTCAATTTTTCAGTTTTTCGACTTCTCGACTTTTCGATCTCTCAATTTCTCGATCTTTCAATGTTTCGTTTCTCAATGTATCAATTTCTTAATTTTTCTATATTTCGATTTTTCGATTTCTGGATATTTAAATTTTCCCATTTCTAAAATTTTTGATTTTTCGATTTTTCAATTTTTCAGTTTTTAAAATTTCAGATTTTTCGATTTCTCGATTATTCACTTCTGTGATATTTCTATTTTTCAGTGTTTCAAATTACTAAATTTTAGATTTTTCTGTATTTTGATGTTTCGATTTCTCGATCTTTCGATTTTTCCATTTTTCAGTTAAAATTTTCGAGTTTTCAGTTTTCCCATTTTTCAATGTTTAGATTTTTCGATTTCTCCATTTTTTAATTTTTCCATCTTTCAGTTTTGGAATTTTTCAAGTTTTCGATTCTTTAATTTTTCAGTATTTTAGTTTTGGAATTTTTCAATATTTTGATTCTTCAATTTTTCGACTTTTAGATTTTTCGATTTTTCAATGTTCTGATTTAAAAAATATTTGAGTTTTTAATGTTTCGGTTTTTAAATTTGTCGAATTTTTGATGTTTTTTAGTTTTTGAGGTTTCTCAATTTTCGATTTTTCGACTTTTTGTTTTCTCGATTTTTCAATATTTCGATGTTTTCTATTTAGTGGAAAACCTGGAAAATCGAAAAATCATCTTTGGATATTTGAGTTCTGGGACTTTTCAATATTTTGATTCTTTCATTTTTCGATTTTTCGGTTTTCCAGTTTTTAAGGTTTCTCAATTTTGAATTTTTCTATAATTCAATTTCCCGATTGATCTATTTTTTGGTTTTTGGACTTCTCGATTTCCCAATTTTTTTAATTGTCGGTTTTTCAGTTTTTCAATTTTTCGATATTTTAGATTTATGATTTTTCAATTTTGCAATATTTCGGTTTTTAAATATTTCAATTTTTAAAATTTTCGATTTTTCTATTTCTCGATTATGCAATTCTTCAATTTTTCAAATTTTTAAATTTTGGATTTTTCACTGTGGCGATGATTTCTCGATCTTTCTGTTTTTCGAATTCTCGGTTTTAGCTTTTTAGGTTTTTCAATTCTCCAATTTTTTAAATTTGTGATTTTCGTTATTTCAATTTTTCGATTTTTCAGTCTTTCAAGTTATAGATTGTTAAATTTCTCGAATTTTCCATTCTTTTTTATTCTTCAATTTTTTAATTACATACTAACTTTTCAATTTTGAGCTATTGTTTCTCAATTTTTCGCTCTTTCGACTTCCTATTTTTTCGATTTCTTGATTTTTTTGATGTTTCATTTCTCGATGTTTGAGTTTTTTGTTTTTTCGATTTTCAACTTCTCAACTTTTCGATTTTTCAATTTTTAGTTTTTTATGTTCAATTTTTCAGTTTTTCGAATTTTTGATGTTTCGATTTCTCGATTCTTCACATCTTGGATATTTGTATTTTTTAAATTTTGGATTTTTTTAATTTTAGATTTTTCAGTTTTTCAACTTCCAGTCTTTAAAATTATTAATTTTTCGATTTTTCAATTTTCGGATTTTAAGTTTTAAGTTTTACAATTTTTCGATCTTTCAATGTTTTAATTTTTGGATTTTTCGAATTTTCAATTTTTCGATTTTACAGATTTTCGATTTCCAAATTTTTCGATATTTCAGTTTTGGAATTTTTCAATATTTCAATTTTTCATTTCGGTTTTTCCACTTTTCGATATCTCAGTTTTGGAATTTTTTATTAATTCTATTCTTCATTTTTTCGATTTGTGGGTTTTCTATTTTTTTGATTTTTCCATTTTTAGATTTTTAAATTTTAGATCTTTCAATCTTCCAATTTTCTTTTAATTTTTAAAATTTTTTATTTTTCCATTTATTGATCTTTCAGTCCCTCAGTATTCCTATTTTTCAATTTTTTCGATGTTTTTCGTTTTCGATTTTTCAATTTTTCGATTTTTCAATGTTTTAATTTTTGGATTTATAGAGATTTCGATGTTCAATTCTCGATTTTTGGATTTCTCGAATTTTCAATTTTTCAATTTTTCGACTTCGATTTGGACTTTTCGATTTCTCGATTTAATCGATTTAACAGATTTTCGATTTCTGATTTTTTCAGAATGGAATTTTTTAATATTGCGATTGTGCAATTTTTCGGTTTTTCGACATATAGATTTTCTGATTTCTCGATTTTTTAATTTTACTATTTTTCTATTCTTAAATTTAAAGTTTTTCAACTTTTCGAATTTTTCATGTTTCGTTTTCCCGATCTTTCAGTTTTTCGGTGTTTTCATTTTTCAGTTTTTAAAATTTCAGGTTTTTCGATTTCTCGATCATTCAGATCTGTGATATTTCTATTTTTCAATGTTTCAAATTACTAAATTTTAGATTTTTCTGTATTTTGATGTAGGGATTTCTCGATTTTTGGATTTTTGAAATTTTTGGTTTTTCAAGTTTTCGGTTAAAATTCTCAATTTTTCAGTTTTCGATTTTTGAACTTTTCGGTTTTTTACATTATTCGATTTTTCGACTTTCGATCTCAGTTATTCGATATTTCAGTTTTGGAATTTTTAAGATTGTCTATTCTTCAGTTTTTCTTATATTTATCAATTTTCCGATATTTTTTTTTGGATTTTTAAAATTTTTGATTTCTCGATTTTTCAATTTTTCGGTTTCTCAGTTTACTAATATTTCAGTTTTGAGATTTTTCAATACGTTTCGATTTACCGATTTTTCGGTTTTTGACTATTTGGTGAATTTTTGACTTTTCAATTTCTTGACTTCTCGATTTCGCTATTGAAGAATCGAAAAATTGAAAAATCTCAAGACTGAAACATTGAAAAATTAAATAATCGAAAAATTGAGAAATCAGAAACTTGGAAAACTTTGGGATTTTTCAATATTTCGATTCTTCCATTTTTCGAGTTTTCAGTGTCTCAGCTTTTGAGATTTCTCAATTTTCGATTTTTCATCTTTTCCATTTCCCGATTTTTCAATGTTTAGAATTTGACAACAAAACACGTCAAAAAATTGACAAAAAAAGTGGAAAATAAAGGGGGTAAAAAATCATAAAAAGGGAGTCGATAAAGAAGAAAAGACACCAAAAAATGCACCAAAAAATATACAAAAAAACGACAAAGAAACTGAGAAAAACAGCAATTAAAAAACGAGATATACAAACCCATTAGAAAAAAGACAAAAAAAGGGACAAAAAAACACGAAAACCATAAACCAATTCTGAGCTGAAAAATCACTGAAACCACTTAAAAAAGCAACCAAAACTTAATTAGTTTTTAATTAAACCAAAATATAATAATCTGTTTGTCATTATTTCAGTTTTTCGATTAATTGATTTTTTTGATTTTTCAAATTTTAGATTATTCAATTTTTTGTTATTTGAGTTTTGGAATTTTTCAATATTTTGTTCCATTTTTCGATTTTTCAATTTTTCAATTTTTGACGTTTCTAAATTCTCAAGTTTTCGATTTCTCAATATTTCGATTGATCTATTTTTTGGTTTTTTCAATTGTCGATTTTTCCAGTTGTTCAGTTCTTCAATTTTTCGATTTTTCAGATTTTTTATTTTCCAGTTACTCTTGAATTTTCCATTTTTTTTTCTTCAATTTTTCAATTACTAACTTTTCAATTTTGAGCTATTGTTTCTCAAGTTTTCGATCTTTCGATTTCCTATTTTTTCGATTTCTTGATCTTTTGATGTTTCGTTTCTCGATATTTCAGTTTTTTTTCGGTATTTTAATTTTTCAATTTTTAAACTTTTGTATTTTTCGAATTCTCGATTATTCACTTCTTGGATATTTGTATTTTTTAAATTTTAGATTTTTCAGTTTTTCAACTTCCAGTCAATGTCCAGTTTTTCGATCTGTCAATGTTTTAATTTTTGGATTTCGATGCTCAATTCTCGATTTTTGGATTTTTCAAATTTTCAATTTTACGATTTTTCGACTTCGATTTTTGGGCTTTTCGATTTCTCGATTTTACAGATTTTCGATTTCTGAATTTTTTTATATATTTTGATTGTTCAATTTTTCGGTTTTTCAACTTATCGATTTTTTAATTTTTCTATTTTTCGATTCTTAAATTTAGGATTTTTCAAGTTTATGATTTCTTAATGTTTCTCTCAGTCTTCCGATTTTTCGAATCTCCAATTATGTATTCGATATTTTAATTTTTTAATTTTTAAAATTTTGGATTTTTCTATTTCTCGATTTTTCAGTTCCTTCTGGGGTATTTCTATTTTTTCAGTTTTTCAACTTCCAATTTTAAAAATTTTTGATGTTTCGTTTTTTCAATTTTCGGATTTTAAGTTTGTCCATTTTTCGATTTTTAAAATATGTATTCGAGTTTTCAATATTCAAAGTGTCGATTTTTCAACTTTTCGAATTTTTGCTGTTTCGATTTCTGGACTTTCGGCCTCAGTTTTTCGATATTTCAGTTTTGGGATTTTTAAGTTTTTCTATTCTTCAGTTTTTCGATTTTTCACGTCTCGATTTTCAATTATCGATTGCTCAGTTTTCAAATTTCCGGATTAATCAAGGTTATGATTTTTCGACTTTTCGATTTCTCGATTTTTTTCCGTTTGTCGATTTCTGTTTACTAATATTTAATTTTTGAGATTTTTCAATAGATATTTTAATTTTTAGATGTACCGATTTTTCTAGTTTTGACTAGTTGCTGAATTTTTGACTTCTCGATTTCGCTATTGAAGAATGGAAAAATTGAAAAATCTCAAGACTGAAATATCGAAAAATTAAGTAATCCAGTAATCGAAAAATCAAAAACCTGCAAATATTTCGATTCTTCCATTTTTCGATTTTTCAGTGTTCCAGTTTTTGAGGTTTCGCAATTTTCGATTTTTCGTCTTTTCCATTTCTCGATTTTTCAATTAGAATTTTTAAATTTTGGATTTTTCGATTTCCCAGTTTTTCGAAACAAGTTTAGAAAAAAAGGGACCAAAAAATTCGACAACAAAACGCGTCAAAGAATAGACAAAAAGGGGACAAATAAAGGGGGTGAATAAATATAAAAAGGCAGTCAATAAAATATACAAAATGATGTCAAAAAAAGAGGCTACCAAGAAAAGGGACAAAAAAAATGACAAAAAACGGGTGAATAAAAAGACAAAACAACGACAAAAATGGTGACAAAAAATCGACTAAAAAAACGACAAAAAAACACGAAAACCATAAACCAATTCTGATCCGAAAAATCACTGAAACCACTTAAAAACTTAATTAGTTTTTAATTAAACCAAAATATAATAATCTGTTAACAATGTGTTGTTCTCAATCTGTTTCCAACCACATTTTTTGTACAATTTGCCTCTCAGTGACGTAATACACCACCAAACAATATTCTCATAACGGCTATTTTTACTCCTAGACCCGAAACAGATGACTTTCCTCACACAATTAACCATCTCTTTAGAGAAATTGTAAATAGTTAGAAAAATAAACGTACGTCGTAACCAACAAGTTAACAGTTACGCCCGATCCACACCTCTCAGTTTTTCATTATCAAACAAAAATATTGACACGAAATTTGATAATGATAACCGATGACAGGAAACAGACGCATCAGTCGCAAAAGACGCGCCTAAAAAGTCCCAAATTAGGAAATCGCCAGTGGCGTCGTCCGGATTTCCCCCTTTAAACCTTGAACGAGTTATCAACGAATTCGGGATATCTATTCATTTATATCTACAGTGCCTGGAATTTTTCAACCACAAACAGAACGGAAGAGTCGTCACGTCGAAAAATACAAAGTACAAACGTAAGACGAAGGTGATGAAACGCGATAAAAATGACACTAATAGACAATGTAAGAAAACACCGTTATCACCACGAAAGATAAAATTACACTTTTCTTGTACTGCTGTGTTTTAACATATACGAGTACTCATAAAGTGATTATAGCTTTATAATTACGGCGATGATGATTGTGGTTCCAAGGACGGACAAGTCGATACAAGCAACGACAATCATAATAATTTTGTTCTAATGAAAAAAAAACACGTTTACATGTAAACACCCATTGCTCGTCTTGGTCGTACCCAAGGTTTAACGAAACCATTCGTAAAGGAAGTACTACCTGCTTTACCTGTCGCCTCAGAAATTAACACACCATTTAACATTCCCGTCGTGTTCGTCACGCTTTTCGCAAAATGTCATCGGTTGTAAATTTAAAGAGTGAATGACTGGTTTACCTGCCGATGAACGCCGCCGCCACTGTCCGAATCTTGGAGTTCCGCATCAGCACGATCACCGTGAGGAGGTTGCCCACCACCCCCACGACCATGATGGCCAGCGTGACGACGCCCGCCGCAGTCATCATCCCCCTGGAGTACCTGGAATCAGGAACTGTGTCAAAGGGCAAGAAACCGATAACCGGGACCGGCACGCGTCTCCGAAATCGGGCGGTCCCATGCACAGTGCGCGCACACATGCACTCCACATGTTTCGGAAAAGCACACAAACAACTTCAGGAAAAGGAAAACGTACCGGACGAGCTCGGAAAAGTGCGACCGGGTTGCCTCTGCGTCCATCGTCGGCCGGAGATTAAGGGGCGCTCCCTCGCTCGCACACACAGGATGGTTAAAAATTGGTTTTAATTGGGACTAATCAGAGCGAACTGCGTGCTGCTCTTGGGCGACGGGTCGGAATGGGAGAGTTGACCAAAACCCGCATTTACCAGAGTTAGTCATTTTATTAATCATTGTGTTTAGCCGGAACGGGAGCCGAAGAGTGAGTAATGGCGCGCTCGACGAGACCGCAGCGATGGGACGGCGAGATGGTACTGGGGTGATAAGGCGAGATAAGGCGGCGAGCTGCAGAAATGATAGCGGCGTCGGGTACCACCGAGGCACGGACGTCTTGGGTACTGGGTTCGGGAGTTGGAACGACGGGACTGGTGAACGAGCTTTCAAAGCCAGATGGAGGCAGTCGTTTTGTTTTTGTGCAGGCGTTAGTCACTCAAGAACGGAACGAGATAAGTAATGTAAAAATAGTTGGCGAGAATTCTTACGAGATTTTCTTGATAGCTGACTAAAAAGCTTTGTTTTAACAATAACAATTATAATTTGTCATTTAATCACCAATATCTAGTGATTTTTACTTCGCGGACATTAGCTACTTTCATGGTTTCTCGATGTTTCATGACCTCGACAGTACGAAAAAAGTGTAGTCGACCGTTTCCGTTTGTCTGTCTATCTGTCTGGCGTCTGTCCAGATTTTTACTAGACACACAGTCTCAAAAACCACCGAGCCGATTGTTATCAAATTTTGTATTTTGTTAGGAACAACATGTAGATAATAAAATGCTAACCATAAGTCTACCCATTCCCATCAGTAACGTTATCTCCAAACTTTTTTTTTCAAGGTTATCGGAAGCATGGTAAATCGCCAGTCAAAATTTTTTCGTTCATGCCCCCTCTCCAGGCATTTACGAGGTCATCAATTATTCGATTTGATTTTTTTGTTCGAATGTTCGATTTGTCAGTTTACCGATATTTCACTTTTGGGATTTTTCAATATTTCGATTGTTCTTCGATTTACCGATTTTTCGACTTTTGCTCTTTTGATTTGTCGATTTTTTACTTTTTCGATTTTTTTAATTTTTTCGATTTTTCAGTCTTTCAGTTTTGACATTTTTCAATTTTTCGATATTTGAGTTTTTTGATTTTTCAATATTTCGATTTCTGAATTTCTCGATTGATCTGTTTTTTGTTTTTTTGACTTTTCGATTTCTTTGCTGTTGGATTTTCAAATTTTCGATTTTCTGATTTTTAAAATTTTTGATTTTTCTATTTTTCCGTTAAAATTCTCGATTTTTCAGTTTTCCGATTTTTCTATGTTTCGATGTGTCAGTTTCGAGATTTTTGAAGTTTTCGATTTTTCGACTTTTCGGTTTTAGGTTTTTCAATTTTCCGATTTTTTTAAGTTTTCAATTTTTGAACTTTTCGGTTTTTAAATTTTTCGATTTTCAGTTTTCGATTTTTCTATTTTCAGAGTTCTCGATTAAACAAGTTTATGATTTTTCGACTTTTCGATTTCTCGACCATGATTTTTCAATTTTACGAATTTTAAAATCTTTGATTTCTTGATTTTTCAATTTTTCGATTTCTCAGTTTACTAATATTTCAGTTTAAGGATTTTTCAAGTCTTCAGTTTTTCTTCGATTTATCAACTTTCCAATACTTCAGTTTTGGGATTTTTCAATATCCGATTTTTTGACTTTTCGATTTTTTAGGTTTTTCGATTTGGTGAATTTTTGACTTTTCGATTTCTCGATTGAAGAATCGAACAATTGAAAAATCTCAAAACTGAAACATCGAAAAATTAAAAAATTCAGAAATCGAAAAATTGAAAAATGAAAAACCTGGAAAATTTTGGGATTTTTCAATATTTTATTCTCCCATTTTTCGTTTTTCAGTGTTTCAGCTGTTGAGATTTTTCAACTTTTCCATTTTTCGATTTTTCAATGTTTCGATGTTTCTATTTGGTGGATTTTTGACTATTCGATTTCTCAACTTCTCGGTTTCTCGATAAAAGAAAAATTGAAAAATCTCAAAACTTCATCGATGAATTGAAAAATCGAAAAATCGAAGAATTGAAAAATCAAAAATTTGGAAAATCAAAAAATTGTCTTTCGATATTTGAGTTTTGAGAATTTTCAATATTTCGATTATTCGATTTACTGATTTTTTTGTTATTTCGATTTGTCGATTTTTTACTTTTTCGATTTTTCAATTTTTCAATTTTTCGATTTTTTGATTTTGCAATTTTTCAATTCTTCAGTTTTTCAACTTTTCAATTTTTTGACGTCCCTAAATTTTCGATTTTTCGACTTGTCAACTTCTGGATTAATCGATTTTTCGGTTTTTCAACATTTTTTAATTTTCGATGTGTCTTTCAACATTTTTTAATTTTTCGATGTTTCAGTTTCGAGATTTTTCAAGTTTTCGATTTTTCGATTTACCGATGTTTCGACTTTTAACCATTTAGTGAATTTTTGACTTTTCGATTTCTTGACTTCTCGATTTCTCAATTGAAGAATCGAAAAATTGAAAAATCAAAAACCTGGAAAATTTTGGGATTTTTCAATATTTCAATTCTTCCATTTTTCGATTTTTCAATATTTCGATGTTTTCTATTTGGTGGATTTTTGACTTTTCGATTTCTCGACTTCTCGATTTCTTGATTAAAGAATCGAAAAATTGAAAATCAAAAACCTGGAAAATCGAAATGTCTTTCGATATTTGGGTGTTGGAATTTCGATTCGTCCATTTTTCAATTTCTCGATTGATGTCTTTTTTTTGGTTTTTTGCCTTCTAGATTTCCCGATTTTTTTTATTTTGAATTTTACAATACTGTAATTATTGGATTTCTTCATTTTTCCATTTTTCAATTTTGCAATACATATTTCGGTGTTTCATTTTCGGTTTTTCGATTTCTCGATTATTCATTTTTTCGATATTTTCCAATTTTTCAAATTTTTAAATTTTGTGTGTTTCAATGTCTTGATGTTTCGATGATTTCTCAATATTTCTGTTTTTCGAATTCTCGATTTTATGTTTTTCGATTTGCCGATTTTTGAAATTTTTGAGTTTTCAATTTTTGAACTTTTCGGTTTTTAAATTTTCTGATTGGTCAATTTCTTGATTTTTCGACTTTCGATCTCAGTTTTTCGATATTTCAGTTTTGGAATTTTTTAGTTTCTTTATTCTTCAGTTTATCGATTTTCAATGTTCGATTTCTCCATTAATCAAGTTTGATTTTTCGACTTTTTTCCGTTTTTCAAATCCAGAATTTTCAATTTTTCGATTTTTTAAATTTTTGATTTTTCGATTTTTCAATTTTTCAATTTCTCTGATTACTAATCTTTCAGTTTTGGGATTTTTCAAGTCTTCAGTTTTTCTTAGATTAATCAATTTTCCCATATTTCAGTTTTAGGATTTTTTAATTTTTCGATGTTTTCTATTTGATGGATTTTTGACTTTTTCAGTTCTTGACTTCTCGATTTCTCGGTTGAAGAATCGAAAAATTGAAAAATCTCAAACCTGAAACATTGAAAAATTAAAAAATCGAAAAATGGAAAAACCTGGAAATTTTCGATTCTTCCATTTTTCGATTTTTCAGTTTTTCAGTTTTTGAGGATTCTTAATTTTCGATTTTTCGACTTTTTGATTTCTCGATTTTTCAATATTTACTAGAAAACCTGAAAAATCGAAAAATCATCTTTGGAAATTTGAGTTCTGGGATTTTTCACTATTTTGATTCTTTCATTTTTCGATTTTTCGGTTTTCCAATTTTCAAGGTTGCTCAATTTTGAATTTTTCAATAACTCAATTTCTCGATTGATCTATTTTTTGTTTTATGGACTTCTCTATTTCCCGATTTTTTTAATTGTCGGTTTTTCAATTTTTCAATTTTTCGATCTTCTAGATTTTTGATTTTTCAATTTTGCAATATTTCGATTTTTAAATGTTTCAATTTTTAAAATTTTCGCTTTTTCTATTTCTCGATTATTCTTCGATATTTCTATTTTCCAATTTTTCAAATTTTTAAATTTTAGATGTTTCCATGATTTCTCGATCTTTCTGTTTTTCGAATTTTCGGTTTTAGCTTTTCAGTTTTTCAATTTTCCCATTTTTGAAATTTGTGTTTTTTGTTCTTTCAATTTTTCGATTTTTCAGTTTTTCGATTTTTTTTTACTCTTCAAGTTTTCAGTTATTAACTTTTCGATTTTGAGCTATTGATCTTTCGACCTTTTTTTTAGATTTCTTTATCTTTTGAGGTTTCGTTTCTCGATGTTTCAGTTTTTTGATTTTTCGATTTTTCGGCTTCTCAGCTTTTCGATTTTTGAATTTTGAAACTTCATATTTTTATATTTTTCAATTTCTAAATTTTATATTGTTCACTTTTTGAACTTTTCGATTTTTCGAATTCTCGATTATTCAGTTCTTGGAAATTTCTGTTTTTCAAATTTTGGATTTTTGAGTGTTTTGATTTTTCCATTATTTCTCGATCTTTCGATTTTTCGATTTTTTGATGTTTTCTATTTGGTGAATTTTTGACTTCTCGCTTTCTCGATTGACTGAAAAATTCCAAAACTGAAAGATCGAAAAATTAAGAAATCCATAAATCGAAAATTCGAAAAACCTGGAAAATTTAGGGATTTTCCAATATTCGATTCTTCCATTTTTCGATTTTTTATTTTTTCAGCTTTTGAGGTCTCTCAATTTTCGATTTTTCGACTTTTCGATTTCTCGATTTTTCAATATTTCGGTGTTTTCTATTTGGTGGATTTTTGACTTTTTCATTTCTCGGTTGAAGAATCGAAGAATTGAAGAATTTCAAAACTGAAACATCAAAAAATTAAAAAATCGAGAAATCGAAAAATCGAAAAACCTGGAAAATTTTGGGTTTTTTCAATATTTCGATTCTTCCATTTTTCGATTTTTTAGATTTTCGGGTTTTGAGGTTTCTCAATTTTTGATTTTTCGACTTTTCGATTTCTCGACAATTCGATTTCTCAATTAAAAATCGAAAAATTGAAAAATCTCAAAAACTGAAACATCGAAAAATTGAAAAATCGAGAAATCGAAAAATTGAAAATCAAAAACCTGGAAAACCGAAAAATCATCTTTCGGTATTTGAGTTTTGAGATTTTTCAATATTTCGATTCTCCGATTTACCGATTTTTCTACTTTTCGTTATTTCGATTTGTCGATTTTTTATTTTTCGATTTTTCAATTTGTCAAATTTTCGATTCTTTATTTTTTCAACTTTTTAATCTTTGACTTTTCTAAATTTTCGATTTTTCAACTTGTCAATTTCTCAATTATTCGATTTTTCAGTTTTTTGACTTTTCGATTTTTCAGGTTTTTGATTTTTCAACTTTTTAATTTTTCGATGTTTCAGTTTGGGCATTTTCTAATATTTTTTGATTCTTCAATTTTTCGAATTTTTGACTTACTGTTTTTGGATTTTCCGGTATTTCAATTTTTCGATTTTTAAAATTTTTGATTTCTCAATTTTTCAATTTTTCGACTTCCCAGTTTACCCATATTTCAGTTTTGGGGTTTTTCAATATTTAGATTCTTCGAAATACCGATTTTTCGACTTTTCATTTTTTCGATTTTTCAATTTTTCTAGTCTTCAAATTTCCTTCGATTTTTTCATTGTTCGATGTTTCAATTTTTCGATGTATCAGTTTTTTTTAATTTTCAATTTTTGACGTTTCTAATTTTTCGATTTCTCGATTTGTCAATTTCTCGATTAATAGATTCTTTGGTTTTTCGACTTTTCCATTTTTCAGGTTTTAGATTTTTCAATTTTTTTAATTTTAAAAATCAAAACCTAAAAAGTCGAAAAATCATTTTTCGATGTTTAAGTTTTAGGATATTTTAATATTTCTATTCTTCCATTTTCCAGTTTTTCAGTTTTTGAAGTTTCTGAATTTTCAATTTTTCGATTGATCTATTTTTTGGTTTTTGACTTCTCGAAATCTCGATTTTTTTTAATTTTCGGTTTTTAATTCCCCAATTTTTCGATGTCAGGTTTTATATTTTTCAATTATTCGATTTCTTAAATTTTGGATTTTTCGTTTTTTCAATATTTGGGTTTTTAAATGTTTCAATTTTTTAAATTTTCGATTTTTCCATTTCTTGTTTATTCAATTCTTCGATATTTCTACTTTTCAATTTTTCAAATTTTTCAGTGTTGTGACTCCTCGGTTTTAGGTTTTCGGTTTTCCAATTTTCCGATTTTTGGAATTTGTGATTTTTCGTTCTTTCCATTTTTAGATTTTTCGATTGTTCAATTTCTCAAATTTTCGATTTTTATTTTTTCTTGAATTTTTCAATTACATATAAACTTTTCGATCTTGAGATATTGATTTCTCAATTTTTCGATTTTTCGACTTTTCGACTTCATATTTTTCTCGATTTCTTGATCCTTTGATGTTTCGTTACTCAATGTTCCAATTTTTTGACATTTCCTCTTTTCGATTTTTGGATGTTCTGATTTTGAATTTTTCGATTTTTTAAATTTTGGTTTTTCGATTTTTCAATTTTTAAATTTAAAACTTTTCAATTTTCCAATTTTTAGACTTTTTTGTTGCTTCAATTTCTTGATTTCTGGATTTTTCGATTTTTAATTTTGCAGTTTATTAATTGGTCAATTTTTGATTTTACGTTTTTTTGAGTCTTCAATTTTTCAAGATTTCAATTTCTCAATTTTTTAACATTTCAGTTTTTGGAAATTTTTCAGTTTCTGGAAATATTTCCATATCTAATTTTTTGATTTTTTGGATTTTTAATTTTTCCATTTTTGCAATTTGCAGACGTTTTAAGGTTATCGTAAGCATGGTAAATTTTTAATTAAAATATATTTGTGTACCTCTCCCCACTCATCTCAAAATTTTGCCGAATAATTCCGATCTAAAATATGCAAAATATGATGAGTCAATCTATACTTGTGAGTCATGATTGCTTTCATATTTTTTAAAAACGAGGTGACTCAAAAAAATTGATGAATGAGTCAGTTTATTTTACTAATTAAATCATAATAAATACCAATAATATAATACTGTTATTATTAGTATTACACTGCACTGAACCAAATTGATCGAAAAAAATTTTGTAAAGGAAAAACTCACATATTATATTTTTTTGTGCTTCAAAGCGAGGGAAGTTCTGTCGAAATAGCCTTCAACTATTTTTTTTAATTACCTTAAAAAAATCCCAACTGTACGAGCACTGCAGTCTCTAAACTTAGTCTATTTATTTTATTTTTCAAATATAGTCGGCGAACACACACGGAGACAGACAGACACAGGCCGTGGAAAGCAGATTTTCAGCGGCGCCTCGTGAATCTGTAATAACACCCAATGAGCAATCCATATGCAGCAAACGTCACGCAGCTCTTCGGGGAAACACCTCCAGGAAGTACCGGAAGCTTTAAAACACCGTCACCGAAACTCCCTGTTCATTAAACAACCTCCAGTATTTATTTACTTACTCACACAACATATTTGCTTTTCACGCTCCGCTCAACGTAAACACATAAAACTCCGTAAATCGTACAAATCAAAAAGCAATTAACCAGTACTAACAACCACACTATTTACAAACCAAATAGGTACCTTTCGCTGAAAACGACCACATTTAAATAGCTATCAGACGATTCCTGTCACTCTGTTATCCCCAAGGCAAATAGGAGTACATTTTTTTTATCGCAAATCAAACACCCTGTAGGTGAACGCCCCTCACTTTCGCCGAAAAAAGCTGAGAAAAGCCGGCGTTGTTGACGACAGGAAGCATATTTCATATCAATTTTTTAAGTCGACGGTTAGGTCATCACTCTAGTGTAAACACAACACATAAATTTAAACATATTGTTCTAATTATGGCTGTCAGTGGAGCTCTGAGAGCCTGACCCAAATCGTGCTGACTTTCGGTTTCTTCGCACGCAGAACATGAGAAAAAAGTTGCTGGTGTGGAGTACCGTTGGACGGTACTCGAGTACCAGGGTCAAGGTCGGTGGGTGGAGCGTCGAGCGTGTGTACCCATCGCTGCTAAGTGTTTTATTGGTTTCCCACAGTTTTCGGTTTTCCAACTTTTGAATTTTCCAATTTTTTGATTTTGCAATTTTTCGTTTCGGTTTATTATTTTCTAGTTCCTTCAATTTTTCCGATTTAAAATATCTCAAGTTTTTAATTTTTCAATTTTTCGAATCTTTTTTTATTTCCTCAAATTTTGGATTTGCAATTTTTGGTTTCAATTTTTTATATTCTTTTTTTCATCTTTTCAATTCGTCACGTTCCGATTTTCACTTTTTAGATTTTTTAAAGTTTGGATTATTCGATTTCTTAGTATTTTTCAACTTTTGTGCTTTTCAATTGTCCAATTTTTCAATTTCCCGATTGTTCGATATTTTTATTTTACAATTTTTACAATTTTTGATTTTCCGGTTCAGTCAATTTTTGGATTTTAAGTTTTTTTGATTCCCCGATTTTTCAACATTTCAATTGTGGAAATTTTCCAATTTCTGGATTTTTCTTTTTTCGATATTTTAAGTTCTCCATTTTTGATATTTCGATTTTTTGGATTACGATTTTTTAAATTTTTGATTTTTCCAATTTTCGAGTTCAATTTCTTTTTTGATTTTTTGGATGTTTTAGTTTTTAGATTTTTCAATTTTCCGATTTACAATAGTTTTCAATTCCTAATTTTTCAGTTGTTCGATTTTTCAATTTATGGATTTTCAGTTTTTCGAGGAAGTGCTCAATTTTCCGATATTTTAGTGTATGGATTTTTCAATTTTTTGGTTCTTCACTTTCTCGATTCTTGAAATTTCCTATTCTCGATTGTTTCATTTTTCTATTTCTCAATTTTCCGATGTTTCAGTTTTACGATTTTTCAATTTTTGGATTTGTAAAATTTTTCGATTATTAAATTTTTGACGTTTCTAAAATTTTCGATTTCTCGATTTTTCGATTTTTCAGTTTTTCAATTCGTCAGTTTTTCGATTTTTGAGCTTTTTGATTATTCAGTTTTTCGATTTTTTAAATTTTCGATTTCTCGATTTTTCAACTTTTCGATTTCTCAATTTACCGCTATTTCTCTACGAGTTTTCATTTTTAAATTTTTCAGTTTTCCGATTTTCCGACTTCTGGATGTTACAATTTTTAAAATTTTTGAATTTTACGTTTTACAATTTCAAGAATTTCAATTCCTAATTTTTCAGTTTTTCGATTTTTCGTTTCGATTTTTTAATTTCTTTAATTTTTCAATTTTTCGGTTTTTCAAGGTTCTGATTTAATGATTCATCTTTTTTCAATCTGGAATTTTTCAATTTTTCGATTTTTTAATTTTTCGATATTTCAGTTTTGGAATTTTTCAGTTTTTTCAATCTTCAATGATTCGATTTTTCAATTTCTGGATTTTCAGTTTTTCGATGACTCGATTTTTCGATATTTTAGTGTTCGGATTTTTTAATTTTTTGGTTCTTCACTTTCTCGATTCTTGAAATTTCCTATTTTCGATTTTTTCATTTTTTTATTTCTCAATTTTCCGATGTTGCAGTTTTACGATTTTTCAGTTTTTCGTTTTCTAAAATTCTTCGATTATTAAATTTTTGACGTTTCTAAAATTTTCGATTCCACTATTTCTCGATTTTTCAACTTTTCGATTTCTCAATTTACCAAAATTTCTCTTCGAGTTTTCATTTTTAAATTTTACAGTTTTCCGATTTTCCAACTTTTGGATGTTTCAGATTTTAGATTTTTAAATTATTCGATTTAAAATTTCAAGAGTTTTCAGTTCTTAGTTTTTCAGATTTTCGATTTTTCGTTTTGCAATTTTTCGTTTCGGTTTTTATTTTCTTTAATTTTTCAATGTTTTGGTTTTTCAGGGTTCTGATTTTATAATTTAACTTTTTCAATGTGGCATTTTTTAATTTTTTGATTTTTTAATTTTTCCGTATTTCAGTTTTGGAATTTTTCAGTTTTTTAATCTTCAATTTTTCGATTTTTCCATTTCTCGATTTTCAGTTTCCCGATTACTCAATTTCTCAATCTTTTAGTGTTTGTATTTTTCAATTTTTTGGTTCTTCACTTTTTCGATGCTTGAAATTTCCTATTTCTCGACTTTTGCGATTTTTAAGCTTTTTGATTTTTCAATTTTTCGGTTTCTCGATTTTTCAAGTTTTCGATTTTTTCAATTTACAGATATTTCTCTTCGAATTTTCATTTTTAAATTTTTCCCAAATTTTGGACGTTTCAATCAAAATTGCAAAGATTTTCTAATTTGTAATTTTCCAATCTGCAATTTCAGGATTTTTCAATTTTTCGATTTTTCATTTCTTTAATTTTTCGTTGCGGTTTTTTATTTTCTTTATTTTTTCAAAAATGTTCGAATTTTCAACGTTCTGATTTTATAATTTTTCTTTTTTTTATAAATTTTATTGATTTATTAATTTTTTTTCTATTTGCAATTTTTCGGTTTTAAATTTTTTGGTTTTTCAACTTTTAGATTCTTTAATTTTTCAATTTTAGATTTTTTCGTTTCCCTGTTTTTCAATTTTTCCTTTCTTCAATTTTTTTTCAGTTTTCGGTTTAAAATGTAATGATAATCATGATAAAAAAAACACTTTCTCAATTTCGGGGTCTTAAAATTTTTCCATTTTTCAATTATTGGATTCTAAAACTCTTTCATTTATTGGATTTTTCGATTTTTCGTTTTTAATTCTTCAGTTTTTAATTTTTCAATTTCTCAATATTTAATTTTTCAATATTTCGATCTTTCAATGTTACAGTTTTTCGACTTTACATTTTGACGATTTTATAAGTTTTCGATTTTACAATTTTTGGGTTTTCTAATTTTTCGATTCCATTCGTTTTTACTGCTTTCCATGCTTTTTAAGTTTCTCGATTTTTAGTTTTTCAATGTTTAGAGTTTTTATTTCTTCACTTCTTCGATTTACAGTTTTTCGATTTCTAAGATTTTCGATTATTAAATTTTTGAAATTTGTCGGTTTTTCAATGTTCTGATTGTATAGTTTCTCTTTTTTTCTGCGTGAAATTTTTCAATATTTTGATTTTTGTATTAATTTTTCGATTTGCAATTTTTAGGTTTTAAATTTTCTGGTTTTTCAACTTTTAATTTTTTAATTTTTCCGTTTTTTCAATTTTAGGTTTTTTCGTTTCTTCATTTTTTTTTCTTTTCAGTTTTCAGTTTAAAATGTAATGATAATCATAATTTAAAAAAAAAAACATTTTTTCAATTGTACGGTTCTAAAATTTTTTCATTTTTCAATTATTGGATTTTAAAACTTTTTCAGTTATTCGATTTTTCAATTTTTGGTATTTTAATTCTTTGATTTTTAATTTTTCAGTTTTCAATTTTTCGATCTTCCCATGTTACAGTTTTTCGACTTTTTTCTTTCTTCAGTTCTTCGATTTACAGTTTTTCAATTTGCCGCTTTTTCGATTTTGCAATTTTTCCTTTTTTTAGTTTTTCGATTCTTCGGTTTTTTCCGATTTTTTAGTTTATCGTTTTTTCAACTTTTCGAATCAAAGAAATGGAAAAATTGCAGAATTATAAAATTGAAAAATCAAAAATGAAAAAACAAAAAAGTATAAAAAGAAAACTGAAAAATCAATAACAATTTAGAAACTTTTTTGTAAAATCGAAATATTGAAACTGAAGGAAATCGGAAAATCGGATAATTGAGAAATCCAAAAACAGCAATCGAAGGATTTAAAAATTGAAAAATCAAAGAATAAAAATTGGAAGAATTGAATAAACGAAAAATTATAAAATCGAAAGAAAGATTGAAAAAATAATCGAGAAAATGAAAATTAGAAAATCGGGAATATGAAAAATAAAAATCAAGAACTTGTAAAAATGAGAAAACGATAAAATTGAAAAATCGAAAAATTAAAAGCTGAGTTAAAAATAGAAAAATTGCAAAATTTGGAGAAATTGAAAAATCGAAATAATTAAAATCGCAAAAACGCAAAATTATAAAACCAAAACAATGAAAAATGAAAAAATTTAGTAATTAAAGAAAATGAAAAAAACGAAAAATTAATCAAGGATAAATAATTCCAAATTTCTCGAAAAATTATAAGATTTGATTTTGGGATTTTTATTTTTTTATGATAACCCTTATAGGCTAAAATAAAGATATGTATATGATGTATTCAACATTTTTTGCATTTTTTTCGGGAAAATGGAATGCGTCGTTCTTGATTTCATCAATACAATATACTGCCTCATACATTAGTTTTTTCGAGTCACCCTGTATAAGTAATTCTAAAAATTATGAGTGCAAAACGTTGTTATCCACTTTGATTATTTTCCAAAAATCTGTATATGTAGAGTGAAAACTCAACACGGGTTCATGCACCACAAATACAGGAGTACCTTATTTTATAAAAATAAAAACAAATGTTTGATGGGGATGATTAGCCAATGTTTGGTTAGCGTTTTACCATCTATATGATAGACTTAATATACATAAGGTCGAGAAAACACAATGGACCTGATTACAACATTAGCTTACCCTCAAAAAGTAAAAAGTTCAATCTGGACTTGGATTCTATAACGTTGTCATAATGAACTCAACAATTACTCAGCGCTTACACCATTCATCCTTCAAACGTTAACATTTACGCATCCAATCTCCCATTTCCTCAAACTTTGCGGTACTCCAAATCCGCCCTGACGTCACCGATAACCGCTCGTTTCTCAACGCGTGCATAAAACGTCCTTTACGACACCCAATTAAACCCGCCATAACCATAAAAGCCCCAAAGCAATTGACCCCAGCTAAAAACAATCTTCAATTAACACAGCGCTCGTAATTACAGCATTACGAGCGCCTTCGTCATCGGATGCGTCACACAAAGACCGCTTTCACCTGCATCTCCATGACGACCCAACGCGTCGATCAAACGCCAAATGTCAGTCACGGACGAAGGTGTGGAGGACCTCCCCGAGGACGAAGAAGACGAGGAGGTCGAAGAGGAGGAAGTCGAAGCCGAGCAGGAGCACTGGAGCCTGTACAACTCCGAGAGCTTCATCTCCGGCCCCTTCCAAAGCGAGCAATGCACGATCCAAGAAGACGTGTTACAATTTGAGTAAGAAAACTCACCGGGTTTGTCTAATTCGCTCAAGTTTTTCTTTCGGGTACGACTGTCGGAAGTACTTCAACTTGACCACACCAGATCCAGACACTTTAATATTCGCATCGGGGAATTTCATTAATTTTTTCGATGTACCGGCGAAAACCATTTCCTTCCGGCGCAGCGCGCTGGGTGGGGGGATCGCACACATTAAGGTAATGGTTGGTATGCGTACTGGGTACTGAAAGAGTGTTTAAGGCTAACCCGCACCCGGATTACAACCACGTGGCGATTGCGGAGAACGGGAGCACCACGGTACCGCTGATCATCATCTACGAGTGGCCCACGATGGACATCGTGGCCGTGCTCAAAGGGGGATCCTCGAAGCTGTATTCCCATTTAGACTTCAGGTGACCCTTCAACCACAAACCCACCACAACCCAGAAATGTTAATGCTTGTAGCCCGAACGGCCTCCTGTTGGTATCCCAAGGGGGCGAACCCGACTACATGATCACCATCTGGAACTGGCCCAAGCGGCGCATCCTCCTACGTACCAAATCCTACGTGAACGACGTCTACAGGGTCAAGTTCTCGCCCTACGTTCCCGGTCAACTCACCAGCTGCGGGATCGCCCACATCAAATTCTGGAAGATGGCCAACACTTTCACCGGGCTTAAACTCAAAGGGGAGTTGGGTAGGTTCGGTAAGACCGAATTCTCGGACATTCTAGGTGTACTACCCATGCCGGACGAGAAGGTAGTATCCGGGTGCGACTGGGGCAACATCCTGGTGTGGGACGGCGGCTTAATCAAACTAGAAGTATTCAGAACCCTGAGACGCAAGTGCCACGATGGTCCCATCGTTCAAATCTCCTTCAACCAAGGGGAACTCATGACGGTGGCCATGGATGGGCATGTTAAAATATGGTGGTACGACAAAATCGACCAGGCGGACCCTCCAGACGACGACAGAGTGATCCAAATCGAACCCACGTACGATTTCTACACACCAGGGTTGATGTTAATGTCGTTACGAAAGCGATACCCGGACCCGAAAGACACAACGTACTTCGGACAAGTACCTAACAAGTCAATAGTACCACCTCAATTACTGGGTTTGTGTTATTATTAGGACGGCAACGGCGGAATTTGGCTGATCGACCTCAACACTGAAGACACCCCGCAAGAGTCGCTCCAACTATACAAGTGCCACGCTGGTAAAGTGGTTACGATTGCGGCGTGCCCATGGGGCCCCTACTTAGCCAGTCTGGGTGAAGATGGGCGCATTTTTGTGTACATGTACGAGGAAAAATTGATGATTTTCGAGCATCAGTACCCAGCGAAAGGGACTTGCTTGTTGTGGGTTCCAATGAAGGTACGTACAATCGCACGCAAATGTTTTGAGCCTATGGGCGGATCATTTTTGCCGGTCGTCACCGAAGGAGGCGGTTCAAATCGTCCAAGGGCAGAATTTATCTTCGCCAAAAAATGCATGACATCATCGTAAAATTTGATTTTTCGTTTTTTCGACCAACAGTTTCATCGAATTAGATTTTTCAGTTTCCATTTTTCTATCAACTTTTCGATTTTATTACTTTCTAATTTTCTGATTTTTCAAATTTGCGGTATTTTGATTTTTCGAGTTTTCAGTTTTTTCGTTTTTCGATTTTTTAATTTTTTGTTTTTTTGATTTTTCGTAGTTTCGATTTTATAATTTGCCATTCTTTCAATTTTCGATTTTTCGTCTTTCCATTTTTAGATTTTTTGATTTTTCTGTTTGTCAGTTTTTAGACTTTGCAATTTTTTTGCATTTTTCGATTATATTTTACTTTCCGATTTTTTTGATTTTTGAATTCTCGATTTTACGTTTTTAATTCTTCGATTTCCGATTTTTCAATTTTCCGGTTTTTTAATTCTTCTATTCTCGATTTTTCGATTTTCCATTAATCATAAATTTTTTCGATTTTTCGGTTGTTTTATTTTTCGATCTTCGATTTTTCAACTTTCGATTATTCGATTTTCCATTTTCTGATTTTACGATTTTTCGATTTGCGATTTTTCGATTTTCGTTTTTCCGCTTTTGTGGTTTTTCGATTTTTCTGTTTGTTTCAGTTTTTATGGTTCTGCAATTTGCAGCTTTTAGATTTCAATTTTGTTACTTCCCGATTTTCCACTTTTCGATTTTTTGATTTTTTTTCGATCGTCGTTTTTTCGATTTTCATTTTTTCGATTCTTTGATTTTTCAATTTTTAGGCCTTGCAATTTTTTTACTTTAAGCTTTTTCGAGTATTTGTTTCATCGAATTTTCGATTTTTCAAGTTTTCGATTTTCGATTTTTCGGTTTTTCCTTTTTCCGATTTTCGATTTTGCATGTTTAGATATTTTTCGATTTTTTTTTGTTTTTCGATTGTTCTGTTCGTCAGTTTTGAGAGTTTGCAATTTTTACTTTTCCACTTTTCTATTATTTTAGTTTCGGATTATTCGATGTTTGAATTTTCGTTTTTTTTTTCATTTTTCGATTTCCGATTTTTTAATTTTTCGATTTTTCGGTTTTTTAATTTGTCGATTCTCGATATTCCGATTTTCGATTTTTCGATTTTACAATCTTCGATTTTTCAATTTCCAGTTTTCGATTTTCTAGTTTTTGATTTTACGATTTTTCGATTATTTTACTTTCTAGTTTTTTGATTTTTGAATTGTCGACTTTTAGAGTTTTCAATATTATGAATTTTCGAATTTTCGGTTTTCCTATTTTTCGATTTTTGATTTTTCCATTTTTCGGTTTTTTGATTTTTCAATTCTCGGTTTTTCAATCTTGCAAATTTTCGATTTTTCAAATTTGTGAATTTCCAGTTTTTCGATCGACCTACGTATTAGATTCATTGAATTTTCGATTTTCGGTTTTTCCATTTTTAGATTTTTGATTTTCCAGTTTTGCATTTTCAGATTTTCTGTTTTTCGCATATCTGATTTATCATATTTTCGATTTTTCGGCTTTTCGATTTTTCGATATTTGATTTTCGAATTTTCGATTGTTCAGTTTTCCATTTTCAGCTTTTAGACTTCAATTTTTTTACTTTTCGATTTTCCAAATTTTCGAGTTTCAATTTTCAAATTTTTGATTTTTCGATTTTCATTTTAAATCTTTGAATTTTTCGGTTTTGATTTTTCGAATTTTTGATTTTCAATTTTTCCATTCTTCGGTTTTTAGACTTCAATTTTCTTTCTTTTAAATTTTTCGATATTCTATTTTCCGCTTTTCAGAATTTTCGATTTTCAGTTTTCAGACTTTCGATGATTAGAATTTTGGATTTTTCATTTTTATGATTTTCCGATTTTTAGAAAATTTAAGTAGTCGAATTTTCGATTTTTCAATTCATCGATTTTTCTATGTTCAATTTTTCAATTTAAATTTTGCGATTTTCAATTTGTCCATTGTCGATTTTTATAATTTTCGGTTTTTCAATTTTTCCATTCTCAACTGTTAGACTTCAATTTTGTTACTTTCCGATTTTTTGGTTTTCGATTTTCCAATTTTCAGAATTTTTAAGTTTCTTTATTCAGATTTTCCATTTTCCACTTTTTCGATTTTAGATTTTTCGAATTTTTTGCTTTTTCGATTTTTCTGTTCGTTTCAGTTTTTAGGCTTTGCAATTTTTTACTTTATATATTTTGATTATTTTAATTTCCGATTTATTTATTTTTGTTTTTGATTTTTTTAATTTTCAATATTACAAATTTTTGACTTTTCGATTTTTCGATTTTCCATTAATCATAAATTTTTTCGATTTTTCGGTTGTTTTATTTTTCAATCTTCGATTTTTCAACTTTCGATTATTCGATTTTCCATTTTCTGATTTTACGATTTTTCGATTTGCGGTTTTTCGATTTTCGTTTTTCCGCTTTTGTGGTTTTTCGATTTTTCTGTTTGTTTCAGTTTTTATGGTTCTGCAATTTGCAGCTTTTAGATTTCAATTTTGTTACTTCCCGATTTTCCACTTTTCGATTTTTTGATTTTTTTTCGATCGTCGTTTTTTCGATTTTCATTTTTTCGATTCTTTGATTTTTCAATTTTTAGGCCTTGCAATTTTTTTACTTTTCGCTTTTTCGAGTATTTGTTTCATCGAATTTTCGATTTTTCAAGTTTTCGATTTTCGATTTTTCGGTTTTTCCATTTTCCGATTTTCGATTTTGCATGTTTAGATATTTTTCGATTTTTTTTTGTTTTTCGATTGTTCTGTTCGTCAGTTTTGAGAGTTTGCAATTTTTACTTTTCCACTTTTCTATTATTTTAGTTTCGGATTATTCGATGTTTGAATTTTCGTTTTTTTTTTCATTTTTCGATTTCCGATTTTTTAATTTTTCGATTTTTCGGTTTTTTAATTTGTCGATTCTCGATATTCCGATTTTCGATTTTTCGATTTTACAATCTTCGATTTTTCAATTTCCAGTTTTCGATTTTCCAGTTTTTGATTTTACGATTTTTCGATTATTTTACTTTCTAGTTTTTTGATTTTTGAATTGTCGACTTTTAGAGTTTTCAATATTATGAATTTTCGAATTTTCGGTTTTCCTATTTTTCGATTTTTGATTTTTCCATTTTTCGGTTTTTTGATTTTTCAATTCTCGGTTTTTCAATCTTGCAAATTTTCGATTTTTCAAATTTGTGAATTTCCAGTTTTTCGATCGACCTACGTATTAGATTCATTGAATTTTCGATTTTCGGTTTTTCCATTTTTAGATTTTTGATTTTCCAGTTTTGCATTTTCAGATTTTCTGTTTTTCGCATATCTGATTTATCATATTTTCGATTTTTCGGCTTTTCGATTTTTCGATATTTGATTTTCGAATTTTCGATTGTTCAGTTTTCCATTTTTCAGCTTTTAGACTTCAATTTTTTTACTTTTCGGTTTTCCAAATTTTCGAGTTTCAATTTTCAAATTTTTGATTTTTCGATTTTCATTTTAAATCTTTGAATTTTTCGGTTTTGATTTTTCGAATTTTTGATTTTCAATTTTTCCATTCTTCTTTTTTTAGACTTCAATTTTCTTTTTTTTAAATTTTTCGATATCCTATTTTCCGCTTTTCAGAATTTTCGATTTTCAGTTTTCAGACTTTCGATGATTAGAATTTTGGATTTTTCATTTTTATGATTTTCCGATTTTTAGAAAATTTAAGTAGTCGAATTTTCGATTTTTCAATTCATCGATTTTTCTATGTTCAATTTTTCAATTTAAATTTTGCGATTTTCAATTTGTCCATTGTCGATTTTTAGAATTTTCGGTTTTTCAATTTTTCCATTCTCAACTGTTAGACTTCAATTTTGTTACTTTCCGATTTTTTGGTTTTCGATTTTCCAATTTTCAGAATTTTTAAGTTTCTTTATTCAGATTTTCCATTTTCCACTTTTTCGATTTTAGATTTTTCGAATTTTTTGCTTTTTCGATTTTTCTGTTCGTTTCAGTTTTTAGGCTTTGCAATTTTTTACTTTATATATTTTGATTATTTTAATTTCCGATTTTTTTATTTTTGTTTTTGATTTTTTTAATTTTCAATATTACAAATTTTTGACTTTTCGATTTTTCGATTTTCCATTAATCATAAATTTTTTCGATTTTTCGGTTGTTTTATTTTTCAATCTTCGATTTTTCAACTTTCGATTATTCGATATTCCATTTTCTGATTTTACGATTTTTCGATTTGCGGTTTTTCGATTTTCGTTTTTCCGCTTTTGTGGTTTTTCGATTTTTCTGTTTGTTTCAGTTTTTATGGTTCTGCAATTTGCAGCTTTTAGATTTCAATTTTGTTACTTCCCGATTTTCCACTTTTCGATTTTTTGATTTTTTTTCGATCGTCGTTTTTTCGATTTTCATTTTTTCGATTCTTTGATTTTTCAATTTTTAGGCCTTGCAATTTTTTTACTTTAAGCTTTTTCGAGTATTTGTTTCATCGAATTTTCGATTTTTCAAGTTTTCGATTTTCGATTTTTCGGTTTTTCCATTTTCCGATTTTCGATTTTGCATGTTTAGATATTTTTCGATTTTTTTTTTATTTTTCGATTGTTCTGTTCGTCAGTTTTGAGAGTTTGCAATTTTTACTTTTCCACTTTTCTATTATTTTAGTTTCGGATTATTCGATGTTTGAATTTTCGTTTTTTTTTTTTCATTTTTCGATTTCCGATTTTTTAATTTTTCGATTTTTCGGTTTTTTAATTTGTCGATTCTCGATATTCCGATTTTCGATTTTTCGATTTTTCAATTTCCAGTTTTCGATTTTCCAGTTTTTGATTTTACGATTTTTCGATTATTTTACTTTCTAGTTTTTTGATTTTTGAATTGTCGACTTTTAGAGTTTTCAATATTATGAATTTTCAAA